ACGCTGGCATTCAGTGAGAGCGTGGTACTTCCGCGGTCGAGCCGACCCATTCGTGCTAAAAACCATATATTGGGAGTACAAATTAATTCCGTCCGTTTTTATGGTGTAGAAAAAAGCATTTATTTCAAAACAATATAAATAAACAGATTAATTGAAGTATTGTCCATCGTTAACTTCTACATTTACTAGGGTTTGGGTCCCGGGACGTCTCGTGTCTCTAACTCCCGGGACTTTTCGTAATTTTAGTTGTCTCGAGTCCCGGGACTTTCGAGTCGAGACTCGAGACGAGACAAGATTGTCGAAATTGTTCTGTAATAATTTTTTTTTCAAATCATTGAAGGAGCCTAGCGCCATCTGTTAGTTTAATGAATAATTACTTGATCTAATACGTATCTACTGAGTACACAATACAATAAATGCGTTTGCCGCGCCACCATCACACCGCCATATTTGATGTTTGTGACGTTTGGATTATTATTGTGTCTGTGTCATAGTCTGTGTCAGACTGTCAGTTAAGTCCAGTCAATCGTCAATTTCATTTATGATGTGAGTGTGGTGTGGTGTTTCTTTTGCAACGGCGCTTTTGTAAAATCGACGACGCTCATAAATCTCATGAAGTTTAATAGGTCATGTTTATAAATGCTGTTTTCTAAGAACATATTATTCTTTTAACTTGTTCAGGTTAAAACTCACAAACTACTGAATTTGCCTTTTTTTCGTATAAACTCAGCATATGCCTTCTGCTATCGTGTATTATTTAAGTTTATTTTATAAAAAAGATAATAAAAACTCACTCACCGAATAAACATATACTTACAATTAAATTTGGATCATCATTATTATGGTATTTCTTTAGTAATCTGCGGCATGAATATATGGTCGCCGAGTGGGCGAGGGAGGAGGGGGGGAGTTGTAGAGTCACCCCCCACTTTCATTTCCTGCCGGACGTGTTTAGTTTTTTTTTTAGAAATTTTTACAAATCTCATTTTGAGGTTATGTTTTCGTAATGTTTTTGACAATATAAACCTGATTTGTGGGGGGAGAGAGTTGGGGAAGGGTAGCTCAACGCTACTCCACGTGGCGCAGTTGAGGGAGGCTCGGTCGATGGTCGATACCCTTCTAACCTAACCTTTCCAAGTCGGGTGCCCCAAATCCCAAGCTCGCTTCGCTCGCTCTAGCACCAAATAAAACACCAAAATGTAAACTTTTATAATTACTTTAATAAATAAACATATTTTATTACTTCCACCTACCATCGCCAACTGTCAGCTGTCTGCTGGCTCAAGTTGCCGTCAAAATCTCCCAAGAGCTGCACAATGTGACGCATCAACATATTGAAATTCTATATATTCAAAATAAAAAAGACAAGGCTGTATGGTATAGTTCCTTTGCCTGCTCTCTCGAGCGAATAATAAAAACAACAACAACAAAAGTTCAGTTTCAAGTATTAATTAGTGATTTATGAATATTTTTAGAAAATAATTTTAAATTTTTCGACGCACCTGATATTGCATGGGGGTGCTTGAGATAAGCCCCCTAGACCTCCCCACAGTGACAGACTCTCTAATAATTATATTGTTATTTCGTTTTCGTATCATTTTTAAATGGATATAACCTCAAAACTATAATTATCGATATCTCGAAAACTAAAGATTTCCGGCATAGAAAGCAGCTAGATGGACCCCCCCCCCACCCCAGCCTGCAAAATAATGATATTTGTAATAAAAAAAATACTAGTCGACGTATTTTTAATAGCACATTACGATTATACTTGTATTTGTAATTGCACACTCTCCAGTTTTTTATAAAAAATCAAAAAGTAAATTATGGTTTTTACTAGTACTGCAATATCGATATCTGCCGTAAATAGTTTTTTTCTAATTGCACAGAGTGCCAATAAATTGCACATATCTCGATTGTAATTGCACTATAACGTATTGTTATTGCACATACTTATTTAGTTACAAAAATTAATAATTAAGTAAAACTGACGGTCGCCGCCAATATGCGCTATACGCAGCAGACGACGGGCATAGTGCATACTTGGTGCATACCATCAATGAAAACGGGCCATAAGTCGTTCTGCTTTTTAACCACAACACAACACGTTTCAATCCATTTCAGAATATTTGATTTTAAGGAAATGAAAAGCAGTATGGGTACGACTTTCCATTGACGTCAGTGGAGTTTGGTGTTGATACGTATTTTTACAGAAAGATTACACTATTATAAGCACACACACAAAGTCTCAATATACGGAAACGCGTAATTTTTGAGAAAAGAATAATTGAAAATCAATTATTCTTGCAATGTTTATGTCTAATCTGCTAATAAACTGGCGCCATTTTGTAATGTCATTGTCGACGTCAATAGGGATGTCGATTCTTTCCGAAAAAGGTCGATTTTTAAATCGATTCAAATCGTAAGCTGATGTATCGATACCCAAAAAATCGATTTCTAAAATATCGATATTTTTTTCATGTTTGCATTTATAATGTAAATATAAATCCATTTTATGAGAAAAAAAATCCCCTTCATCATAAAAAAATAAGGGGACTGATTCATAAGGATTTCTGTATCTATTTTGAGACTGCTACGTCTCCGGCGCTGCGGGAAGAGCAACCTCTACGCCTTAGCGTAACAAATCGCAGGCATCCCTCCTCGTCTGCTGTAACAAATCGATGCCTACGATTTGTTACAGCAGGCGGAGGCTGCTCCCCCTACGCGCCTCCGGCTCTATAAAACCACTCTAGGAGTAGGACAGACTCGTACCAGGTGGAGTCGGGGTCAATCAATTCGGTTCTTTGACATAAGTTGAACCTAACCTATTTTATTTGTTATCTGCCCTAATAGGTACTGTTAAATAAAACAAATTTCAATAAGAGATCATTTATCATGGTATCTTTCTTGTTTTTCATAAAATGGGCTTATATTTACATTATAAATAGAAACATTAAAAAAATATAGATATTTTAGAAATCGATTTTTTGTGAACCGATACATCAGCTTACGATTTGAATCGATTTAAAAATCGTCCTTTTTCGGAAAGAATCGACATCCCTATTGACGTCGACAATGACATTACAAAATGGCGCCAGTTTATTAGCAGATTAGACATAAACATTGCAAGAATAATTGATTTTCAATTATTCTTTTCTCAAAAATTACGCGTTTCCGTATATTGAGACCTTGTGTGTGTGCTTATAATAGTGTAATCTTTCTGTAAAAATACGTATCAACACCAAACTCCACTGACGTCAATGGAAAGCTAAGCCGCAGTATGTATTATTTTTTGTTATTTCATATTTATTATAATAACAAGTATATTTATGCCAGGCTTTTGTAACAGGAATTGTCCATTAGAGTAGTTATTTACATCACCCCATCAATACTATAAGAATCTATGGTCAAGTCTTATTACACCAGAGACAATATGGATTAAGTTTCGACTCGATGGTGTAAAAGTGACATCAAATATTGTCTGTGGATTAAGAGGTTAGCTCTGGGCAGTCGGGCATTGTTGAGAGACGAGCCGCCGAAGTGACGACAAGGTTTGTGAAATACTGTGTTATTTTGTTGCACTGTGGTATTGATTTAATTTAGTAGGAATAAATATTGTTATTGTGTTGATTAATTCTTTTATTTAGAATTCTATAATCCGCTTTTGAGATACCCTTTTACATCTCAGAAGTGGGATCTACAAGACAATATGTTTTGTACTAAACCACCCCACGAGCTCGACCGTTAAATAGTGACACTAATTTTTATTAATTTCCTTTCACTTTAACGAAAAATCAATGCAATAACAAATATATTATCAAGTAATGTAACTACTAAATGCGACAAGATATTAACTTGACCCACGATGCGCCTGATTTAACTAGATGAGTTTAAACAATTGTTTGTTCTACCTTATTTTGTTTATATCCTGATTAAATGCGTCACAATGTGTTAAAATATATATATATATTTGTTTCCATTGGTGATATAGCGAAACTAACCATTAATAGCACCAAAATAAATTCGACATGATCGCTAATTTATGTGATGAAAATAGAGAGGATTTTGTGATTAAAATTAATGTATAGCTTATTAAATATGTTTATTTACAATATGGTTAGAAATGTTACTTTTTAAAGGTAGTGCAGTGAAATTAACCAACAAAAGTGATAGAATGGGCTGAGAATGATCAGCAGACTTGTGATGTGAGCAGATAAAATTATAATAATAATAATAATTTGGAAAATCTAAAAGTGCACACTTTGAACGCTCATGCAACGTTTCGAATAATCAATTTACTTCTATTAAATACCAAAACGCGTAATTTGTTTAAAGCAAAAAAAAAAAAAAAATATCGTGTCTCCTTTTACTCAATATGAAATCTATTTTACTGTTGATACTGGCGATTCGTATTTCATTAAAGAAATAGTCTTGGAGAGAGAACGGGACGGTACAATAGTGAAATTCAAAAGAGTTTCTAAGGATTAAAATCTAAAGTAAACAAAGTAGTTAGTTCAATTTTTCCGAAGATATCTGGTACAAAAATAATGTTATTCCATACCCGACCAACTGACATCCGGGTGAAGTTATTTTCAATTAACACTGTTGTTTTTTTTAATAATCATCGAAATAAATAATTTTATAACTATGTACGTCGGAAGTATTTATAGAAATATCCTCTTGCTATTGGCACCCTTTCTTTTAGTCATATAAGTGCAAAATTAAGCTGGTGGAAGTGATTTAAGTCGAGCGAACCGCAATTTTTTTTTGATTTTATGGCAATAGAGCACTAAATCTTCGATTCGCAGTCAATGTGTGCAAAGCTTTAGTTGGCAGGCGATGACCCTATTACATTATAGGTCCAGAACGTAAAACATTAAAATTGCAATTAGCAGTAATAAAATAAACTTCAAAATACCTCCCGTTATTGAATGAATACAAATTGAGATTTGTTCTTTCTTATAGTTATATACATAAAAATTATTTTGAGTTCCAGGAAAATGAGTGACAAAGGAGCCGAGGTGAATCCCCGACGCGCTCATAGTTCATGTAGCACCAATGACCGACAGCGGTTACACAGCGAGACATCCCAAAGCCGAGGTCGACATATGCGCGGGATCGAGAGGCGCAGTCTTAGCCGCAGCCGCAGTGATTATGGTGAGCGTCGGCTACGATTGCAGCGGCCTCGAGGACGCAGTTCAGGGCGTGATCAACGCCGCAGTGTATATAGCACGCGTACGCTACGCGAGCAGGAACGCAAGCTGTCACGAGAAAGGGAGAAGTTAAGGACACTTGAAAAAAAGGTACGTAAAAAGCGTGAAAGATGGAATGAAAGAAACAGATCGTCCAGGCGGGTTGAGACGCCTGACCCCACTCCTGATTGGATAAATACTGATAATCTACGCACACATCGCGACCGTTCTGTATCCACAGCGGCAAAAGGACGTGTAACTAGTGATGACAGTGATAACGTCAATAATGTGAAAAAACCTAAGCTTATTACTATGGATGTTTTTGAGGATTGTATAAAATTATTTAAATCAAAAGCAGGGGATCGTGAATCATTTTCTAGCTCTACTTTAAATAATATTATTCCTGAGTATGATCCCATGTTAAAGGAACAGACAATTAACAATTGGCTTGACAAGGTGGACGAATGTTCTGAAATTTATGATTGGAGTGACAAGCAAACGATTCACTATGCCCTGCCCAAACTCACTGGTCTAGCTAAGATGTGGTACCAGGGGTTACCCTCTATCAAGCATACTTGGCCACAATGGAAAATTATGTTAAAAGAATCATTCCCTTCAACCGAAAATTACGCGGAACTATTGACGAATATGCTTGATAGACGGGTACGTTCTGGGGAGTCCTTTGAAATTTATTATTTTGCAAAATTGAATTTACTGAACAGATGTAAGATAATTGGAAGACAGGCAGTAGATTGTTTACTCTATGGGATTGACGATAGGGGGGTTCGTGTAGGCGCTCAAGCGGCAAAGTTTTCCAAGCCCGAGGACGTACTCGAATTTTTTAAAACCATCAAATGTCAGACTCGAAGTCAACCAGACTCTTATAAAGATTTCAATAAGGACAAACGTACTAGCGTTACAAAAGTCAATAACAATTCTACAAGGAACTCGGACAGTACATACTCTAGAAAAAGTGTTAGAGGTCCTGTTACCTGTTTTAACTGTCAAGGTGTCGGCCACCCAAGTTTCAAGTGCCCTAAGCCAATCATAAAATGTACTAACTGTTATTTCCTAGGACATGATAGCTCTCACTGTCCTAAGCTGAAGGATCAAAAGAATCCCTCAAAAGATAAAAGCGTTCTTGAGGTTTCAGTCACTGAAAATAGTAATAATAAATATAAGATGATGATAATTGTTAATGGAATATCCACGGTCTGTCAACTGGATTTAGGTAGTGAAGCGACGTTGATTCGTAAAACGAACGCTGTGAGTTTAGGATTAAAGTGGGAGGGCGTAAATAGCCCCTATTTGAGAGGATTGGGAAATGTGCCATACTTACCATTAGGGTGTACCTTAGCGAATATAACTGTCCAGGGTATTTCAGAAAAGGATGTGGAGGTGTTTATTGTTGATGACCATCTAATTAATTGTGACGTATTACTAGGACATAGCTTTACCGAAAGACCATCACTAAAAATTATTAAGACCCCATTAGAGATAAGGTTTGAACGAGTTGGACACGAGTTTACCAAGTTACACCTCTATACAATTTGTGACCTTACAGTCGACATAGGCATGATGGTATCTATCCCTGTGAGGTCAAAATTCGTCTGTCAGGACAGTAATATCTATGTGGGTGGGTCCATAAGAGGTCGCGAGGGTCAGGAATACTATCTGTTACCAGGAGAGTACCAGATTCGTAATTCTGAATGTAATTTACTAGTTCAGAATGTTGGAACTAATACGGTGTATTTCAAAAGGGACACTCTCATCACACGCGCGCAAATTGTAGGATCTGGTAATAACGATCTAAATATTTTAAAAATTTCCAATGATTTTAACAACCATGATCCTATCACTCCTAAATGTGGGAACCAGCTATCGGATACTCATAAGCGACAGATTGTAGAATTACTAGAAAAATATAAAGACTGCTTCTCTACTGGTATGCACGACCTAGGATTTACTAATGTTACGGAGATGGAAATCCATCTCAAGGATTCTACCCCGGTTGTTTATAGGCCCTATCGCTTGCCTCACTCTGAGCGCAAGCTAGTCCAGAACATGGTAGGTGAAATGATTGAACATGGCATCGTACGAGAGTCTAACTCTCCATACGCTAGCCCTATCGTTCTCGTCAAAAAGAAATCAGGCGAAAAGAGACTCTGCGTAGACTATAGAGCTCTAAATAGTCGCACCAAAAGAGATCATTATCCGCTTCCGAGGATTGACGACTTACTAGATCAGCTATCAGGTCAGTCATTGTTCACATCACTTGATCTAGCCTCAGGCTATCATCAGATAGCAATAGCTGAACAATCACGAGAGAAGACTGCATTTGTCACACCCGATGGGCAATACGAGTACAATCGAGTACCTTTCGGATTGGCAAATGCACCAGCGGTCTTCCAGCGAGCAATTCATAAGATCCTGAACAAAACTAAAATCGGATATATCGTCATTTACATGGACGATATTCTGATACCATCCAAAAGTTTTAAAGAAGGCCTGGAGCGTCTTGGAGAAGTGCTAGGTATCTTACGTGAGGCGGGATTAACACTTAAGATGGAAAAGTGCAACTTCTTCCAAGAGAGAATTGACTTTCTCGGGTTTGAGATAAACAAAGATGGTATCCGGCCTGGGGCCCAAAAGATCGAAGCTGTTTCAAGGTTTCCTATCCCGAGAAATCAACATGAGGTAAGAAGATTTCTGGGCCTTGCAAGCTTTTTCAGAAGATTTGTGAAGGGATTTGCATTGATTGCCCGACCCTTAACAAACCTTTTGAAGAAGGATATACCCTGGAAATGGGGAGACGCTCAAACCAACTCCTTTGAGACCATAAAAAGGTTTCTTACAGAGAGACCTGTCCTAGCCCTGTATAATCCTGATGCCGAAACGCAGTTACACACCGACGCCAGCAAATTTGGCATTGCAGGTATTTTATTACAGAGAAAAGACTCCGATCCCTGGCGGCCAGTAGCGTACTTCAGTCGTCAGACACTTGCGGACGAGATGAAAATGCACTCATTCGAGCTAGAGACACTTGCGGTCATTAGTTCATTAAACAAGTTTCGCACATATCTTATCGGCATCAAATTTACTATTGTAACAGACTGTAACGCGTTGCGCTCAACATTCACCAAAAGAGACTTAATACCTCGTATATCAAGATGGTGGATCCAGTTTTTGGAATTCGACTGCGAAATCGAATACCGCCCAGGTGAGAGGATGTCCCATGTGGACGCACTCAGTAGGGGACCGGTGTCACCACCAGCTGAGGAAATCAATATTCTAGACATCATGTCGGTTAGTACAGAAGACTGGATCTCCACGGTTCAGTCGTCTGACGATGAGGTTAAACGTATCAAGGATGTGCTAGAAGACCCAGAGACATCTAAAATTGCAAGTATCTATAAGGACTATACAATTAAAAACGGACGAGTATTCAGAATTTTAAAGGATGGAGCTACCAGATGGATGGTCCCAAAAGGCGTGCGTTGGCAGCTCCTTAAAATCAATCACGATGACGTGGGTCACTTTGGGTTTGAAAAGACCCTGGAACGAATACGATCATTATTTTGGTTTCCAAAGATGCGGAAGTTTATAAAAAAATATGTAGCTGCATGCCTCGAGTGCGCTCACCATAAACTACCGTCGGGAACCAAAGAGGGATTCCTTCACCCGATACCAAAGGTAGATATACCGTTCCACACGTTGCACGCGGACCATCTTGGCCCTTTCCCACGAAGTAAGCGGGGTAATACATACATACTTGTGATGGTGGACGGTTTTACTAAATACGTTAATTTATCACCAGTGCGCAGTACAAAAACCAAAGAAAGTATAAAAGCATTTAAAACTCTTTTTAGCTACTTTGGGGCTCCTTCACGGCTAATTACAGATAGAGGCACGAGCTTCACAAGCAAAAAGTTTAAAACATTCGTGCAATCAATCGGTGCGAAACATATTCTTAATTCTGTCGCCACTCCAAGAGCAAATGGACAGGTTGAACGGTATAACCGAACAATTTTAGCATCTCTTGGGTCCATGGCTCACGGGAAGAATAAAAACATGTGGGACGAACTTTTACATGATATACAGTTAGGACTAAACACCACTATTCATGACGTTACAAAAAAAACTCCTACTGAGTTATTGTTAGGAAGAACGGTGACAAACCCGAACCAAGGTATATTGAATAAAATAATTGAGGATATAGAACAGAGTAATAGTGAAACATTGGAAGAAGTAAGATTTAAAGCGAGTGAACGGATAAAAAAAAATCAGGCGGCAAATAAAAGTCGTTTCGACAAACACAGAAAAAAGTGTGCAGAATATAAAGAAGGTGATCTCGTTAGGATAGCAAGGGCGATAGTAGCGGCACCGGGTCAGTCAAAAAAGTTGGAGGCAAAGTGCCAGGGCCCATATAGGATCAAAAAGATCCTTCCAAATGACCGGTTCCTTGTAGAAGATACTCCTCTGACGAGAAAAGGGGCTAAATATGAAACAATCGTTGCCGTTGACAAAATATTCCCATGGTTGTCTTTCAACATCTCTGCTTGCCCTTCCAGTGAAGACAGTGATAGTGAAAGTAATAATAATTTTAATAAAGACTAATTGAAACTAAGCATTATTACTATGATTTTATTGATAACTATTTAATGTCTAATAAATCTGTATATCCACATTGTAACTGAATTATACCAAATCACCGATTCAAAATTTTGAAACAGTAGAGATATAATTTCGTATAAATTGAACAAAGATTAGAAACACTAATCACCTTTTAGTTTAACTACATGTTAGGCATGATTAGAATAAGATAATTTTCTGTTAATTGTAAATTGTTGTATTTGATCAATATAGCGAGTCAAAGTAGTGAAATGAATGATGACCGGCATAATAACTTACCAATCAAAAAAAAATATATAATAAACACCATGGAGATAAGTGAGGATGTTTGAGTCGGGCAGGACTGGCGTATGAACTCGCCGCCCATGAGTGACTCAAAACATCGCAGCCGATGACTGTGTCGGTGAAGGAAGTAACCCTCACACTACACGGCTATAAGTATTGATTAAGTGAGGGATATTAGAGTCGGACATGATTGGCGTATGAACTCGCCACCCATGATCGACTCGAAGTACCGCAGCCAATAACGAAGTGACGGTGAAGGAAGTAACCCTCACATTGCATGGCTATAATTAAGATTCAGTGAGGATGTTGTATTTTGGACATGATTGGCTTATGAACTAGCCGCTCATGAGTAGTTTTCAATTATTATAAGTAATTCGTTGTGAGAGTGAAGGAAGTGTCCCTCATTTTGCACGGCTATAGAATATAGACATAACACATTGTACTATAGTTACCACTAGTAATTAAACTTGTGTGACAATTTGTGTAAGCTTAGGAAATGTGAATTACTGTACAATATATTAGAAATTAAAACAGCATCATTATATTAACTTATTAGCTAAGGAGAAACGAAGGGACTCGTTTTTGAAGGATGGCCGACTGTAACAGGAATTGTCCATTAGAGTAGTTATTTACATCACCCCATCAATACTATAAGAATCTATGGTCAAGTCTTATTACACCAGAGACAATATGGATTAAGTTTCGACTCGATGGTGTAAAAGTGACATCAAATATTGTCTGTGGATTAAGAGGTTAGCTCTGGGCAGTCGGGCATTGTTGAGAGACGAGCCGCCGAAGTGACGACAAGGTTTGTGAAATACTGTGTTATTTTGTTGCACTGTGGTATTGATTTAATTTAGTAGGAATAAATATTGTTATTGTGTTGATTAATTCTTTTATTTAGAATTCTATAATCCGCTTTTGAGATACCCTTTTACACTTTTTTTCAATTATTTGCAGATGGTGCTGTCTAGAAGTCTTCTCAAAATTTTTCAATTGACCGCGGTGCAAAAGGTTAATCCTGACACATACAGCTTTGAAGAGGAGTCTCTCGAGGCTATGATATTGAAGGAACTTTTGGTAATTTGTGACCATGCCGATAAAGTCTGTTTGAAGGAACTGCATCCCAGCAACAGTCGACTAGTCATGGTCCTATCTCGATCCAAAGGAAGTTTGATCAACATATCTCTGATGATTGCATGTGTAGGACAACAAGCCATCAGTGGTCATCGTGTAATGGATTCGAGGACAGAGCTCTACCACACTTTGAAAAGTACTCTAAAGTTCCGTTTTGTTGAGAATTCCTTTGACTCCGGTCTGACCCCAACTGAATTTTTCTTTCATACCATGAGTGGTAGAGAAGGTCTGGTGGATACTGATGTGAAAACACGTGTGAATGAATTCTGCCAACTGAGAAACTGTCAAGCGCTCAACGTATCTGTAGACTGGATGGTTATTATTTGATTTGATGTGCTGTCTGACTCGGGCAATTTTTATGACAACTGCTTTCATCATCTGGACTTGACGTCATCAAGGACACTTTTGTGATCAACAAGACAATCTTTGCCTTCCATGTAAGTTGGGTCCATGGCATCTCCACCATAGAGAACCTGAACAATGTCTCTTGTAGAATTTCTAACTGTCGAATCGTAGTGCAGGCAAAGATCTTCCAAACTCTGCACCAACTTTCTCTGCATGTATCCAGTTTCAGCTGTTTTCACATCAGTATCGGCACATTTCTATCAATTATGGAAATTACTGTACTCTTGCTATAAATGTAATGTTAATCATTGAGAAATTTGTATCAAACATCAAATTACATGACTCATACATTTAGTTTAATGAAAAATTATCATAAAGAATTGTTTACTCCATGCACACCATGGTAATAGAAATAATGATAAATATATTTAAATTTTTCATACAAAGGATTTTAAGCTGATAAATTAGGCAGATGTTTTTACATTTAGTTGCTTAAAAAGGATTATTAAAAATTTTTTACATGCGCAGTATACACTTACATGGATTCGGATTAGATTTGAAAGGCTACGACCAAGAGAGCTCATCAGGGAAGGAAAAAAAATGATAGATACAACCGAAAAGCACTTTATGAAGACTATTTGTTAATACTTTTCGAAGTACAAAAATTAATTATTGAATTTGTTATTTATACAAGATCAAACCAATAAAATGACATATTTTTAAATATAATCTCACATCTGTTCATCTGTAAGTTCACTGACACATTCCTAGTACATTTATAATATTATTAATAAGTAAAATAAGCAACAAATATATTATTAAAACTTTTATTAAGTTAGGTGAAATATATAACATGGAAATAAATAATTTCTTTGTCGGCATGCTAGTATAACGAAGTATTTTTTATTTTTCGTTTGTTTTTCTTTTACAATGTCAACAACATACAATGTTGGAAAAAATAATAAAGCATTTATTTGGATACCACCGTAACTTACTGAAAACTGAAACATTTTATCTGTAAGCAATAATGCGAGAGCTTTTCGTTTTTATACAAACAAGATGAGTAACTACAATAACAGAATTTAATACTGATTGGAGCCGCAGCTGTGAATTTTCATACATATATAATACAAGCCCTGATATACAAGCATTCAAAAATTTACGCAATTAAAAATTGTGTAAATTTTGATTCTAGGTACTTGAAAGATCTTTAATAATAGTTTCATAATAGCACTGTAAGAAAAAGAGAACTTTGTCTTTATGAGATCTTCTATGACCATATTTTGGGTAAACCGCTGTACTCAAATGCTGTATTGCTCAGTAGAAAGACTAGAGTATGTGTTTTCATTAATTACTATATTATTTGTATCCACAAATTGAAGTAACTTTAAATATAGGTCATTTTGCCAGGCTATGCCTTGTCTTCGTTTGTACATGTCATCCATTTGCTGTTTTGTACTTGGTTTTGTATGCCTTTTTCCCTGAAATCATTTTTTCAATTCAATTTTAGATTTCTGTTTATACTTATAAATATTTACATTATAAATTTGAGGTTTTTACATCATAATTTAAGGTTAAGTTAAAACAAACGTATACTACGACTCAGTAAAGTATTAGTAATATGTCAATTAAAAAGTGAGAAAAACTTTTTTCAATTGACCACTCAATTTAACACAAATTTAATTTATAACTTTTTTTAAGTGTTAAACATTTAATCTTCAAGTTAGTGTTTCTTGCTGTTTCGTCTGCTAGTTGATATACATAAAAAAAACTAATAATTAACTGTTGCTTTCAAATATTGAATCATTATGTTTTGCAAGTCATATACCAAACCAATAAAATAATAATTTTTGTAACAAACAATCAATTGAAAATATAAATATAATTTTCTTACGATATTCCCGCCTAAAAAGTTGCACTCTTGAAACTGTTCTCATGATTTATTTTTTGTCCACCAATCACAGCTTAACTCTGAAACTTGATCACGTCGATCGCGGATTTGATTTGAATCGGTCCGAACACGAATCTGTCAAAACAAAGAAAGTGTAGAATCTCATTAGTACGCGAATATAATATGATTTAATTTTGTAAGTTATAACAAATATAATTAGCAAAATGGTTGGTCCTCGAACAAAAGCTCAACCAGATGAAATTTTACAAAAACTTTTATTGCAAGAAATTTTTGATGATGGTGTATTAAAAAATAGGAAAAATGTGGTTTGGAATGACGTTTGTGAATCACTGGATAATGTAATAAAGCCAGTAAATTTGTATTTGATGGTAAAGCAAGACAGACACAATCTTTTGTCATATTATAGACGTAAGCACATGGACAAAGATGAATTTATTGACAACGAAGAAGACAATGAAAAGGAAAGCTCAGATTACTGTTCTACGGATTCAGACAGTGAAACAGATGAAGATTCACCTTCAGTGCCAAAAAAGAGCAGGATCGATGGTAGGAAAAAAATTAAATTTAACATAGAATTAACAGCTGAGCAGTGGTCAGAAATAAGTTTGATCAAAAAGGTTTATAAAGATGGTCGAGAAGGCCAAGTTCTTCAACCAGGTTGGGCAGACATGATTGGTCAAGGTATTTGGGAAAAAGAACGCCTGCCTTGCTGTTTTAATTTTAAAAGGCAGTTGATTGATCATTATAATGCCTTTATTATATTAATTGGTTATTGTAAAACATGTTCAAGTGATTTACGAGCAAAGTGTTACACTAGACCATTACCAGACTGTGCAGTAACTTTTAGCATCACTACAATAAACTCTCATGGTGTTCCTCATGATGAAAAGAGACGTTTAGCAGGTCCCCAAAGAGAAAAAGTAAAAGAAGAATTAAAACACAAGAAACCTAAAAATTGGAGACGTGATGAAGCTAAAAAAAATATGGATTATGGTGATTGCGAACCTACTACAGTGTATAAACCAGTTCTGCAAAAAGCATCCCAGCAAGGTAAGTATAAGGAGTTGGGCCTAAAGCAAGGAGAAAATTTGATTCTTTAAGTAATTTAAAAAAAAATGTAGAATTCAATAAGTACATAAGGCAAATAGGATATGACAAATTCTTCGTTTCATTCTGGTCACCAGAACAGATCCATATTTACAATCATATACAGAAATATTTAAACAACCCTGTATCTTTAGATGCTACTGGATCTGTTGCTATCAAGATTGATCGAACCGATGGAGTTAGTAGTGACTTACTCCTC